GAAGAGGAGTGCTTTTCCTGCTGTTCTAGCCCAGCTGGGTCTGACCAGAGGCTACTACGTACCCATTTACTGTGCACGGCTGTTAACTCAGAGTGGGATGTAACCAGCTATTGGCTAGATGTATGTATGTTGTTCTTGCTGACCTGTGTTTTTTCCTTAGGGGCCAAAGCAGTATCCTTATAATAATCTGTACCTGGAACGAGGCGGCGATCCCACCAAAGAGCCTGAGCCTGTGGTTCACTATGAAATCTGAGGAGGCTTCATGGGCTTTGTGCCCCCTGACTGACTCCCTCATTCCTAGAGATTTAACCTTAATGAAATCCCTAATAAAACTTAGTGCTGTGGTACTGTGGTATGCGTGCCTCATTTCCCCAGGAATAGCCACTACCCTGAGGAACTTCATTCTTTTCTCTTTTTTCTGCCTGCTCTCTGTAACACCTCCCCCTCCAGATTGGAAGGATGGGGAGAGGATGGGGGGAGGTTAAGCACAAGAAGATGTTAAATTGTGAACCTTGCCGGGACTAGGAGGTATTTGAGGGTTCCATTTGTGCAGCAGGCAGTAAGTGTAGCTCCTTTTCCCACTTACAGGGTTGGGGGAAAAGGAAGATATGTTCCTGACTAACCAAATTAAAAGAAGATTTATTCCCCATTAAAAAAAACTGTAATAATAGTGGTTAGCTAAAAAAAAAAATGTACTCTTAACATGTTTTAAGTATATTACAGGAAAAAATAGGTGTTTTTGGACTGGCCTAGAGCTGTGACTGCCTCATTTCTCTTATAAGAATATGTATTCCTTATTCCCAAGCAACTTCTGAATCTTGGCTTTTTATAAGCCGACATTACCTGTATTATGAATTAGGGGACAGTTCAGTGAGTTATTACTGAACCTGTGCAGGCTTTTGTTACCGTATTTGCCGGCGTATAAGACGATTTTTTGGCCCTGAAAAATATGCCTCCAAGTGGGAGGTCGTCTTATACGCCAGGTACACTTCAGATAGACTGCCCATAGTGCTTGCCCCGTGCCATAGTGGCCTCCCGAT